ATTTTAAATCAGTATTTTTATTAATCTGTTGGAAATATTTTAGTTTACTTAATTTTATTCCTTTTGTAAAAATAAAAAAAAAATAATTGAAATATAAAATTATAATAAATAAATAACATTTTCTTATTGTTTTGTATGTGATTCATTGATGTATAAATTGTGCTTGCTTTTGTTTTAAAATATTAAAATATTATTATATATTACAGATTAAAATAATTTAGAATATTTTCCTTTTTTGGCAAAAATGTTTAGCGAAGGGAAGGTCCATTCTATTCTTTTCATAAAGAAATGTTTATCGTATTTCACTCTTCATCTGACTCTGACAAATATTATCCAGCTTTATGTAGAACAATCATCATAAAGCACTTGTTGTACCCTGTAACACTTAGAAAGTAAAAAAAAAAAAAAAAAAAATGAATACCCAATGATCTTTTAACCGGATGCTCGTGCACTTGGCGTGTCGCCCATAGATAACTATTTCGATTCGATTTCGGTCTGAATGTCGATGCTATGGATCTCAAAGCCCCGTTCGCGTTTTAAGTATCTCCCATACTGTGTCGAAATCATTGAAGCATCGCATTACATTAACCCATTCTGGTGCAATTCGGCTCGAACTCGTTCAAAGACTCAACTGTGTTGGATAGCCAAAGGCGGAAGCTTAATCGTTAACTATGAGCGCTGACTAACAAGTCGTCGCATATCTACACATACACACATATGTACATGCAATGTTTCCCACGTGCAGCACGGCAGCGACAACAAGTGGCACACACACACCCTGAAGCCAATCTCACACCCTGCCACGGCCCCTGCCACAACAAGTTGCAGCCATATAGCACGCACCAAGCCCGAAATGAATGAAATGAAAAGGGGGAAACGCGACATAAAATACTTATTAAAAAAGGCGAAAAGTTAATAATATGCGAGAAAGCAACAAACAGTAAACAGTAAACAGAAAACAGAAAACAGTAAAAGGTAAAAGCGTTGCCCATGAAGCAAAGTTCCGATGCCGTTGCCACGTTGGTGGTTGTCGATGCTGCTGCTGCTGCTGCTGCTGCTGCCTCCGCAGACAGGCAACATAAAGCACGGGTCAGCAAAGGTGGTGCTGGTGCTGCTGGTAGTGGTGGTGGTGGTGGTGGTGGTGTTGGCGGTGGCCAGCGCAAATCTTTCAAGAGTAGTTCCGCTCTTTTGTATTGTGGCCACAGTTGCAGCACATCCGCTCCAAGTTGGCTGCCTCTGTCACGAAGAACATTTCGGCCTGGGAGGGAGTACGCACTGATTATCTTTGTATAATGATTGCAATTAAAAAGCGGCTCACGCGGTGGGCGGGGCGCTAGGCGTGAAATGTGCGGCACAGGCCAAACAAACGAGGGCTCCGCTCGAGGCAGGGAGGAGGGAGGGAAGGCAGGGAGGGAGGCTAAGGTGCAGCCGATCACTTGTAGTTTGCACCGGAAGTAGACACCATTTTGAGTGCGAGTGCTAGTGCAAGTGTATGTGTGTGTGTGTGTGTTAAAGTCGAGCGCAATTCAAGTTCTTGTTGCGCATTGGCCAGCAAAAGAGGCAGAGATTCAAACGAATATTGCTCAACAATTGTTATTATGTTACGCTTAATGAGCAGACTGTGACGACGTCAATGTGTGCGTGTTTGCGTGTGTGTGTTCGTGTGTCTGTGTGTTGTGGGTGTATTTCTTTGCGCTTCCATAAGCAGCGCGCCTCAGCGAATCACTAGGCGAGACCAGAGAGAAATCGCCGCTTTCGATCGTTAGTCGCTCACCCCCCTCGCCGCCGCGCTGCACCGCTTGCCTTGCCTCTGCCGCTGCGCTGCTTCTCCTTTGGCTACACAATTGATTTCGCCGCGTTTCGTATTTGCTGTTCGCCGTCAGCGTCGCTTGGCTGCCTCTTTGATTTAGTTCACTATCTCCCTCTGCCCACAAGTTCGCCTCGTCTCTCACTTATCTTTCATTAAAAGCATTGGCGCTCGTTCGCCGCGCTGATTAACTTGCAAGTCGGCTCGAAATTTCATTGGCTGTTTAGTTTTTCTGTGGGCTGGGCAGCGCCTTTGCTTAGCTTGAGGCAGCTTCTGTTCGCATGTGTGCGCAGAGAGCTGCTGGAGCTAATCAATAAATCATTTCAAGGTTTTCTTAATTAAAAGTTTTTTGGCCAGAAACAAGCCACAGACACGCTTCTCTAATAAACTTTTCCACATGCCATGAAAGACAAAGTTTCAAAAATAAAAAAAAAAAAATACATATATATAAGAGAGGGAAAACAGCGAAAAATTGATTAACTGCCCGAAGACCACAAAAAACTTCAGTTGAGCAAAGTTTCGAACCCTTTCCAATAAGAAAAACTTTTCAACTTCGAACAAGAAAAGGAGTCAGCCCTCCGAGGAGCATGTGAAACTAAGGCAGGCAAAAACTGTAAAACTGAAAACTATTAAACGCTTAAGTCAGGCGGAAAATGAGACAAAATAGTTGCAGAACTTGGACACTGAAAGAGAGAAGCACAAATATGCTCAGCCTTAATTAAGGGCAACTTGAGCAAGGTATTGCAGGAAGAAGCCAAACAGGAAAAAAAAACATTATAAAATAAAAAAGAAGAAAACAAATGCTCAAAATAAATTCGACTAATTGGCTGGCGCGAAGACTCAAGCGCCAAGGGGCAAATGCTGGGAACAATAAATGAGGCAAACAACCGCAAAATAGCGACAAGAAAAATCAAAAGAAATCGCAATGGAAACTCAGCATCGACCCCACTTGACATTAACCGTTAACCGCTTAAGCTGGCCACACTTATTTATGTTTTCTTCTGGCGTTTTCTTGAAATATTTACCCAGGCCAAACAATAGAGCCAAGAAGAAAATAAGAAGAGCAAAGGAAAACCCAACGACACACACACACACAGGAAATACACTACTACAGCTACAAAAAGTTGCTGCTCTTGGGTTCTCTATTGACATAATTTCTGCCACAAGTCACACTCAAGGCGTTGGCCAGGCACTTGAGCACAAATTCCAAGGACGAATCCACCCTCAATTAGTCGCCCAGTGTATCCTGGCAAAGACGTTGTCCTTTTGCATGTTCTTTTGTTAATATTTGCTTTCTTTCACCGGATTGTTTGGGCTCAGTTTTCAGTTTCGGTTACAGTTTCTGGTTGGATTTCTGGTTTGGCTCTGGTTGGGCTCTGGTTGGGTCTTTGGTTTCATTTACATGGTCGTTAGACGACTTTTGCCGCAAATTAGCCTTTGTCCTGCTGATTAGCCAGACGCTTTCTTATTGGCATTTCCGCTCCCAGCTTATGCGTGGCAAATGCGAAAGGGATATGCGTGGCAACCGGTATGAATCTAACGGTAGTTTAAGTGATATCATGATTGCAAGGAACTCGCCCAGTTGTTTTAGCTTATCTAATCGAAATTTGGGCCGATTGCTGCCTGCACCATTCGTCAAATCTTGTACACACTTCAGTCCTTGATAAGCACCGATTGTGGCTATATACGTATATAAATATATGGGTATATTTAGATCATATCTAATCAATGGCCAGCTAAAATATTGACTCGCATTGTTTGCATAGTCAACTTTTATTTGCTTATTAGCTTCAAGTATTTTTTTCGAATTCGGGTTTATCAGCCCTCCAACGAGCCTCTCCACGCACAGCAAATAGAAACGAAGCTGTTTGCACTGTATCTTATCGGAGAACGCTTTTCCAGCATTTGAATGCATTTTCATAATTTATGTGAGACCATTTACCTGTTGGGCCAACCCTTCTTCCTTCCGCTTGTTTCTTTCTTCCGCCAAACAAATGAAGCCCGCTCGAACTTCCGCTTTCAATAAGTGTCTAATAAGTCCAAAGTTCTGCTTGCAACCCTTAGTTTAGGCCCAGTCCCTGTTTTTATTTTACTTTTTTTCTGTATTTAGTTAGTTAGTTCCCACCGTATACTAGTCGGCACCCTTCCCGGATATTGTTATTGGTTTATACTGATGGCCATGTGAACGCCTTTTCCTTCCGCCGTTCGACGCCTACGCCAACGCCTGAGCCGCCCAACTTGTTGTTGCCTCTCGTTGTATTTGCGCAGGCAATTCTCTAAATGTGCAAAATGATTGCGGCTTCGTGTTAACCTCCACTACACCCCACACACATTCGAGCCAAGTTGAACCCCTCGGCCCGAGTTGCTTAATGTTTGAGCCACACGCGAGCTGAAAATTGCTGTGCGAAAAAAAATAATGGCGCAGTTGTAGAGTCATTGCTTGCGGTTTTGAAGGCATTCCATGGCATTCCAATTGGATTTGCAGTTTTATAAAAGAAATAGGAATGCAAATTCGCTAAATACGAAAAGCGGTTTGAAAGTCACTGCTTACAGTTTGCGAGCTATTGCCAATGACTCTAATTAGAATTACAACTTTGAGCTATCTAAGAAGAAAAAATTAAGAAATAGTATTAAATTTAGTTCATTGGTTTCCAGTGAAAATAGATTTCTAGCTTCCTTTTAGCCATTATAAAACTCCAATTGGAATCACATGCTCCATCGTCAATGCCTGAAAATCATTAAGCTTAAAATAAAATTGAAATTAATTTTTATTGCAAAGTATATGTACGTGTATGTATTCATGTTTCTTTTTTCTTTCTATTTATGTTTGTTTTGCATTTTAAAAAATATACGAACTAAATATTTACTCTACTATCACTTATAGTTCTAAAGAGCAGTTAACAATTTTCACTTAAGTTTTCGCACTCGATGTTGATTCGTTTGCCTAATTTCTTGTGTGGGTTTTCCTTTTGTTCAGTTTTCGTTTTCAGTATCTTTTCCATTTTTGATTTGTGTTTATCATTTTTTTAGATTTCCTTATGGTTCATTTTGTACTTTCCAAAAACTCACTGACACTTGGAGGCTAGAGCGTAAGGCGATTCTCATTTGGGTTTCTCGGCGTACATGGACGATGTATATGTACGATATGTATGTATATATATGTATATTTATATACACATAATATATATATATATATAGATGCATGCATAGTCACATATACAAAAATATATTGGCACTAATACACATACATAGTGATATGCATATATATGCGTTAATGCTACTTGGTCAAGTTCTTGCGCTGCTCAGCGATGTCCTTCTCGTTCAGGTGAATGACCCGACGGCCGAAGCGCGCCGTCAGCTTGGAGAAGAAGCCCACCCGGGAGGCGGGCTTGGTGTCGTCCGCCGATAGTGGCGGCGCCTGATAGGCGTCTTCCTCGCAGTTTCCCGAGGTGCGCCCATGCTTGCCACTGCGACCCTGGCCAAAGTGAAATGTCGCCCGGGCCACGTTGCTGCGCGTGAAGGGCTTGTCGGAGGACTTCTCCGACGGCGTCGGTGGGGCCATGGGCGTGGGCGTGGTTCGGCCAGAGGCAGCGCCACAGGCGCCAGCCGGCTGGCCATGGACTTGCAGCCGCTCTAGCAGACGCCCGTCCATGGACGACTTGGGCAGCTGACTCCCGTTCGTCTGCGTGATCGGATCGGCCTTCTCGTAGAGCGTGCTGGGACGGCGACCCGAGCCCTGGTAGTGGAAGCGCTGTGGACTCTTCGCTATCTTCTGCGTCTGGGCCAGCTGCCGCTGGGCGCTGAGCAGCGTCGGCTTGACGTCGACGCCGCCCGAGACATTGGCTCCGGCTGTACGCTTGCTATGTGGCGTCAGCGGCGAGCGGGCGCGACTGGGCGTGGTGGTGCTGCTGGAGCTGGCGCTGGTGGAGGTGGAGGTGGAGGTGCTGGTGCTGGTGCTCGCTGAGCTAGAGGAGGCTGGCTTGCGGGCGGGTGTGCGGCGTGTGGGCTTGGCGGGTGGAGCTGCTGCAGCAGTGCTGCTCGGATTGTGTGTGGTGTGTGCAGGGCTGGCTGTTGCCGTTGCCATTGCCGCGCCCGTCGCCGTCGCCGTTGTGGTTGTCGTTGCCAGAGCATTGGCCACGCGTGGCGGCAGGGGACGGTTCGTGGACGAGAGGCTCTTCTCGAGGGGCATCATCACCTGCACACAACTAGCGACAGGCAGTGCGCTGGAAGAGGAGCTTTCCGACGTGGCGGTCTCCGACGATGTTTGGCGGGTGTTGCGCGGCTTGTTCACGCCCAACAGCATGTAGGTGCAGTAGATGTCATCGAAGGCTTGGCCTCTCAGCGACGCCTCGACGTCGCGTCGCTTGTAGCCCATGTTGACCAGCATATCCAGCCGGACGGCGTCCTGTAGCTCCATCGGCTTCTCGCGATACGGTCGCAGTCGTTCGGCCTCCTCGTAGCCCAGATTGATCCACTTGTCGCTCATCACATTGTTCAGCGTGGTGCGCTTGGCCGGATTGAGCACCAGAAACTTGCGCATCAGATTCTCGCAGTCCATGGATATGTAGTAGGGCACGCGGTACTTGCCGCGCAGGACGCGCTCTCGCAGCTCCTTGAGTGTGCCGCCGTCGAAGGGCAGGGAGCCGCTGACCAGCGTGTAGAGCACCACGCCCAGCGACCAGGCATCCACCTCGGGGCCCGCATACTTGCGGCCCATGAACAGCTCCGGAGCGGCATACGGCGGACTGCCACAAAACGTTTCTAGCTGGGCATTCGGATCGAAGGTGTTCCCAAATCCAAAGTCGGCAATCTTGATGTTCATGTGCTGATCGAGCAACAGATTCTCGGCCTTCAGATCGCGATGGACGACGAACTTGCTGTGACAGTACTGGATGGCCGAGACCAACTGGCGGAAGATGACCCGGGCGTCGCGCTCCCGCATGCGTCCGTTCTTGACCAGGTGATCGAATAGCTCGCCGCGGCTGGCATATTCCATGATGAGGTAGAGCGTGCGCTCCGACTCGATCACCTGGAAGAGGCGGACGATGTTCGGGTGGTTGAGCAGCTTCATGATGCGCACCTCGCGGTATAGCTTCTGCCGGGCGCTGGCGTTCAGCTGCGTCTTGTCTATCACCTTGATGGCCACCTCGCGCCCGGTGGGCACATGCAGGGCGAGCTTCACCTTGGCAAAGTTGCCCTTGCCCAGCGTCTTGAGGATCTTGTAAACGCCGTTGCCGTTGCCATTTACATACGACTGAAACTTGAGCTCCGTGCCATTGCCCATGCCATCGGTCGCATCCTGGCCGGCTGCCTGGCTGCTCTGGCGAACCGTTGCGCCGCTGGGCGTAGCCGGCCCCGCCTTCGATGGCGTTGCACCAGCAGCACTAGCTAATGCTGCAGTTGCTGTTGCACTGGATGCACTGGATGCTGTCGCTGCTGCAGTTGCACCTTGGCTCGCTGTGGCCGCGCCAGCTGTCGGGGATTTTCTAATACAGTTCTCCTTCTCGGATGTTTTGAATGACTTGGGCGCCTTCTCATCTGCTGCTGCCGCTGCTGCTTTTACTTTTGCCGCACTCTCATCTGCCAAGCTGAATTCTACAATTTCTAAATGTTTATCCGCCGACATTCTAAACTTACAAATTTTGTAGAGCTTCAAACACGAAACTGACAGCTAAACAACTCCTAGAACTCCTAGAAGCCCCTATCACCCAGCCCTTTCAATTTAGCCAAGTGGCGTATGCCTGCCGCGGGATTGCAGTTCACGTCGTTGACGAAGCTCCACGCAGGCCGCGCACGCGTCCTTTGAATCACCAAATGGCAAATGGAAGCCAGCTGCCCCTCCCCTACTCTGAACTCAAGGCGTAATTGTTGACTCGTCTCTTTTTCCAGCTCTGAACATCTGCTCGTTTTCGTCGGCACCCTCCCAGCCTGGTCTGGTAAGCTTTAAGATAAGACCGACCAGGACAACCACTGGCTGGGCGCGTGTGTCGGTAGCTCTAACCCTCAGCGTTCAGCTGGCATTGGTGTGGCCGATAAGCATAGCTCGTCCTCGGCAGGATCGCTTGTCGCTTGCTTTGTCTCGACCCTCACATGCGCCGCAATTTCCTTATGAACTCAACAACCCCTCGACATTTGGTCGCAGTCGCAGGAGTCGCTGTCGGAGCCAGAGGCAAATGTATTTGCCTAATGCTTCATGTGGCACGAGCGCGTTACCCAATGAGCCTTTTTGCAGTTCTCCCTCCTCGGTCCTCGCTCCTCCTCACTCCTCACTGCTTGCTGTTTGCTCCTTGCTCCTTGCTCGCCTTCCCTTTCGATAACGTTGCTGTTTTGATCGTGTGCCGTTGCTCTGGTTGGTGTCAAATTAAAATCCACTCGGTTTATCGCTGAGCGTTGACAACTTCGACGTGTGTGATCAGCTGCATGCAAGGAAAAAACCGTAAGAGGATTTTATTACAGGTGATAAATGATTGTCAGGATTATGGGGTAAAATTATCAGCAAATCAGCTTTGAATTACGATTGCAATCTCTTCCTATCTTAATGCCTCTCAAATAGCATAGATCCTAGAACATATGCGTATAATCTGCATGAAGGTCCTAGTGAAAAGTAGTTGAAATTTTGAAAGTGTATTATAATTGGCTTTGCGAAATATGTCTATGTACATGTATTTTTCAGATTTGTAATTCTAAAAAAAAGCCTACGAACGAACTAAAATAGAAATAATGTCAGACTGTCTCTATACAACAATACATATGCATATACTTACATACATACGTACATATGTACATATACACATATTAATTTACAAACCAAAATTTTACAATTCACATATACTAATACAGTAACAATTTAGATCCCTGTACACTATTTCGGATATCAAATATTTGATTGGCATCGAAACATATGGGTTATTCTAGAATATATTTATGTGTTATGTTTCCTAGAATAATGAGGTCTGTTGGTACGCTCCCAGTCTATCTTCCTCTGTTTCTTACTCTTTCATAAATGTATAGCCATCGAGGTGGTAAGGATTAGCGCCATGACGATCACTTGTTTTAATCCACTAAAAAACATTCGCTTGCTTTATGTACCAAATGCTACCCATACAATATTCAGTCAACCATTCTTCCTTTTCCACTTTGTTTTGTTCGCTTTTGCACCACTGTACCAACGCCGATCGCTCGGAAAGTAATTTGCTCTCCCAAACCATTAACAACCTTCCCTTGTTCGCCGTTCTTCCACTTCGGTTCGCTTGTTTCTTGATTCCCTCTTGTTTTGCACTTACATTCTGCCTGCATGTCCTGCGATCCTCTGCCGCAAGCTACCTAGTCGAACTACCCTAACTGCTACCTACTTACCTTTAACAAAACACACTAGCACATACATACACACACACACACATATACGCACTCGCATAGCGGGCACAAAAATTAACTCATGCAACAACTACAACAAAGGAAACGAAACTGGTCCTTAATCTGGCCTTTCTTTGCGCCTCAGCATTCGTTCGCTCGTTCGCCCTGTGCGACGTGTAACAATTTCTCGTTCTCTCTTTGAACTCTTGCACACACACACACATACAGGCGCACATGTGTGCCCACAGCCTGTGTGTCCTTGATCCTGCTTACTTGTTTTCGTTATTGTCGTTGTTGTTGTTATTGCTCTGCTGTGGCTTGCAACATTTTCTCAAATTTTGCCATCGTCATTCTCATTCCCTTATTCTCATCCAACCCTGACTGCTTGCCTGCCTGCCTGGCTCTCTCTCTCGCGCTCTCTTTGCTTGCACGTCAAACTTGTCCGTTTTGGGTCGCATGCAGCGGCATTGTCATCTCCTTTTTTTCTCTTCCTCTTTCCCTTCTTACTGCGCCCGGCTGTGCCGTTTTCTTTGTCTCGTTTGCTCGTAATTCAATTGCAGCTGCTTCTTTTATGTTTTTATTTCTATTATTTTTGGCCTACGAAAATATGCGATTCGCAATGTCAGCAAAACCAAAATAAAACAGATCTAGCAAAAAGAAAAACATAAAAACAACATACCCGTTTCTAGAATTGGCAACAGTTATGCATATGTTTAGTAATTCGAATGTCAACTGGAGCTGCACTTGCTCAAGTTCAATGTACCCCAAAGTCCCCTACGCGCGCTCCCCTACAGCTGCCCCCCGCCACACTGGGCGCTCGTCTGCAGAAGTAAACACAGACTCGACGTAAACAGTTGTCGGGGAACGAGGGGGGTTTGTTAACATTCGCCTTTGTTGCTGCTTCGCCTTCTGTTCACTGGCAGTTTAGCGCCTTCATTTTATTTCCCCCATTCTATTTTGATTCTTATTCTTGCGAGCGCTTCTCAGAAACAGCAACAAGAACAACAACAACAACAACGACGACGACCCACTCTCCCTTAGCCGTTACTCGCGATCGTCGTTCTCGGGCTGTTTGCCTGTTCGCCTCTTCTTGATGTTTATCTGCCGCTTCTGCTGCTGCTGCTGCTGCTGGCCACAACAACTCTTCCCACTGACTCATCGTCAGGCAGACAACGGAAGGCCCGCAGCTTGAGACGCCAGCCACAGCAACAACAACAACAGCAGCAGCGGCTGCGGCGTTTGGTGTTTCGCTTTTCACTTGATCTTCGGGTTCTCATTTCTTGAGCACGTCTTTTTAACGCACTTTTCTAGTTTTCCATCGATCTTTTGCCCTTGGCTTGGCACACACATACATACATTCAGGCACAGTTACTTACGCTTCATTAGCGTGCAGCCATCTCTTAATTGTTTTATTGTCTCTACTTTGACACTATTTCTTTGAAACGGGTCTGGCTCAGAGTTCTTTTTTTTTATTTCTGTGTTGTGATTGCCAACTCAACGGAGTGGCGAAGCACTTGAAATCGCGATTCCCAGTGGATGGGATCGCTTGGTTTATTAATAAAACGCCTCTTTAATTGCAAAGGAGAACGCCCACTTCAACAGCAGATGGACAAATGTACGCAGACACAGACAGACACCAAGACAGACCACAAACTGAGGGCTGCGATAAGGCAGCAGCAGTCCCAGTCCCCATGGAGCGCGAGCGTTTATCTTGTGCCAGTGTCCCGAAATCGAAAAACCAGAAATCAAAAGACCAAAGCAGCGCCAAGATAATTGCACATTTTACTTACGTTTCGTTTCGTTTCGTTCCCCTTCCCATGGCCGTTCCCTGGGCAGCAATCAAAAACAAATTAGAGTTAATCCACAATCCACACATGTGAGCTGCGAGCGGCGATCCGAAAATCTATCTGCGACTCTGCGCAACGAACTATAAGATACAAAGCGCGTCGTTGTACTGAACGCACAACTCAAAGTACCAGTGCCCAGGCCCAGGCCCAGGCCAAGTCTCAGATCCATGCACATAGCGATACAGGTCTGAGACGGAAAGAGAGAGAATCTTAAAGAACTGCACGCGATACAGATGTGCGCGCCGAGAGAGTCGAGCCGGACGAACCGTGAGAGCGAGAGTGCGGCGAGCGAGACTCTTCTCGTGCTCATCGCCGTTTATGGCCATTACACGCTCATTCTTTGTGCGGGGCTTCTTTCGCTACTGAGTCTCGAGCGCTGAAGGTCGTTGTATTTCCTTGAGCGTTTCTTGGGCCGTGACGTCACAGGTAGACAACAATGACGTCGTCGTTGGGAAGGGGAAATGAATGCTGATGGCCACAACAATGAATAACTTCGGCTTCGACTTCGTTTTCGTATTTCGTGTTCGTATTCGCCTTCGTCTTACGCCTCGCTGCCTCTGCTCGTCCACGTTAAGTTTCTGCGGCGAATTTAGCCTCAATTTGCTTTGTAGTGGTTCGCCTCAACATCTTCTCCTCGTACTTCAGTAGTGTGAGTTTTCTTAGCTGTTGTCGTGGTGGTAGTGCGGCCCTGTTGCCGACTCTTTCTAATTGTACATGTGTGTGTGTGTGTGTCTGTGTATGTTTTGAAGTTTTCTTATTCGCTGTTGGTTGTCGCTGCGTGTCTTTCGCTGCCGTTGTGTTTATGTGCACGCTATCTTATCGCATGCCCGACGCTCAATCAAGTGTACGTGTCTGCTGGTGTGGGTGTCTGCGAGTGGGACCAATAAGAACGAAGCAATCTTGAAGTGAGTGCCGCTACGGCTCTTTGACCAACTGCATTTCTCATTTAGCCGGCAGACAGACAATGCCAACAAAAGCCAAAACAGTTTGATTAAAAAACCCAAGCAAAACTTGCCATAACGAATAAATAATAAAATGCATTTGGTTTTACTCGTCTCGTTCTCTTCTTCGCCTCTTTTTTCATATAAATGAAAAGAAAAATTATAATGACAAAGTAGGCGGCCTGAGCTAAAAGAGAGGGGCGGATGCTGCAGATGCTGCTGATTATAATAAAAGTTTTTCTTTTTTTTTCTATTTCCTTTTTTGATTTTTACTTAACTCTTGTTCTATTTTGCCCGCTTTACGAGTTTCTTTGGCCGCGACGACTTTGAGGCGCTTGATTAAAAAGCTTTTGCATATTTCTGCCTTTTGATTGAAATTACTTTGAGATAAACTTGCACCACTCACCCAGCTGCAATTGTGCCCCCTCCACTCATAGCCGTCCGTAGTCTAGACCAAGTCGCATTCAAACTCGTATTTGCATATTATGAACTTTGCAGTACCTACTTCTATGTTGAAAGAAACAGAAACTCAAGCTTCGAATGTGGGCCAAAGTGACATGTTAATAATTAAGCGGGTAATTAAGCATGCCAACAACACCAGACGAGAATACCCTCAAAAATAATAGTGAATAAGTAAATAGCAGCTGCGAAATACCCTAGCAATACTAAATACTAAATGTGAATATATTGAATATATGCTAAATATGCCGAACTTTCTCAAATGCATTGAAAACATTTATTAAAATTATTAAAGTACTAATTACATTTATCAGGAATTAAATTTGTACTTCATTTAATGAATAAATTCGTTTGGTAGTTGAAAGTTTAGTTTTAAATGATCAAATTGTATTACAATTTTCCTATATTTCTATTTATATCATTGATAAACATAAATGTATTTCGAGTACAGTAAATGTATATCGTTTATTCTGTCTTAACTGAAGCTGAACACCATTTAATTTAGACCACTGAAATATATTTCCCCATTGTCAAAAAACCCTTAATACATTTTCTATCAAAATTAATTTGATTTTGTAATTCCCATCAACTTCTTATAATGAAACAAATTCGATCAGCCTTTCATTTAACCCTTGCCTGCCATTTCGCTTAGAGTGCAGGGTATGCACGCATTTATATGCATAGCAAAGTTGAGCTAGATAAATAACAACATCTTGCCATAATCGTTTATAATTGGGTCAGCCACACGTGGCAATTGGTGGCCACCAGCTGACGCTCTAGGCAGACAATGCCACAGTCGGCAAATCACAGTTGGCCACAAATAGACACGCGTCTAGCGAAGGCAGCAGCAGGAGTAGCAGCAGGAGTAGGAGTAGGAGCAGGAGAAGGAGCAGGAAGAGAAACAGCAGCAGGAGCATAGAATAGCACCTGATATCAATGCGGCATCGACTTTGCTGCATTTGGCAATGTTTGATCATGGAGGATGCGGAAAACAGATTGCAGCACCAGATGACGATGCGGCGCAAACAAAGGCCAAAAGGTTAAAAGGGAGATAAACAGACGGAGAACGAAGGACGGCGGACTGAGGAGGACAGAGGCTGCTGCATCTTTTAGTTTTTGGCAAACAATGGACAAAGGAGCATGCAGGATATGCGATACATTCACTTTTGCACATTGCCATGAGTTATGGAGATCTTAGGGATGCGGGCGCATATCGATTACGAAGATGCCCTCAACATCGACTTCTCGGCGTATGATTTGCGTTTTATTTGTCTTCTTCTTGCCCGCCTGACTGGCAAAAGGTGCAAAATTGTGAACGAACGTGCCACAAACTGTCTGCAAGGACTTAACGATTAATTGGATTTCTGTTCCAATGCCTAGCAGAGATGCACAGCATCAATATTCGATAATGCAAACGCATTGACTCTACTTTGCATTCGCTGCATCACAATATTTCCGATTCACAGCCAGGTGAGGGCAACTCAAAACCAGCTGCCGCTGTTGCTGCCGCTGCTGCTGCTGCTTGGAGCTCTCAGCTAAATATACAAATTAACCCATTCAAACAAAAGGTTTGAGAAATGTGTCAAAAAAGAAGAGAGGAATAGAAAAGGAGACATAAAGGTGGCCAAACAATGGACGCCAAATGAGCTGAATCCATGTCAATAAAATGCTCGGCCCCTTGTTGGCCGAAATCAGTTTTGTCAGCTGCCTGAAAGTAAAAGTGCGCAGTTTTCATAAGGAAAACATTGCAAAAGTGCAGAGTTTCTCACAGATCGGAAAATGGGAGAATTGTCAATCATTTGTCAGTGTCGGTGTCGAGTGGGCCGTCAAGGAAATGCACTTAGACAGTCGCAAATGTCCCTTTTGTTAATCCTTTGCGCTTGTTTTGCATTGCGGCCAATGCGAATCCTTTGCATTCCGCCGACCATTCATCGGGGCTCGGTTCGGTTCGGTTTGGTTTTGCTTGGCTCTGATTCTCTATTCCGAGTACATATATTCATATATCTACCTGCCTTTGTCAAAGAGGTTTTCACCCGCTTTAGCCGTGTTTTTGTTACATTTTTGCATAGTTTTTGTGTGCGTGTCGCAAAGACTACTTAAATACATGCTTCGCACAAAGAGAACAACAACAACAATTTTAGCGCAATTTGTAATGCGGCTGCGATCGGGAATTAGCAAACATTTTTGAATGGATTTTCCAGAGTTTTCCAAGAAATGCAAACTCAAATTCTATTTGCCTTAACAAGTTGATGCATGCGCAGCTCAAATAATTGCCTGAAAGCGCTTAGAAATATGGCTTTGGCGTTTTTTATATAGTCAATAGAAAATATGTTTAGTTAGTGCTATATTGGGATTTTAAATAACAAATTTGATTTCCTCATTATATACATTTTTATACAATGCTCTTCTATATTTCGAGATATTCTCCAATAACTTCTATAACTTATTTATCTGAGCATCTGCTTTGCTTTCATCCATAAATATGTATTATTTATTTCGGGCAACCCGAAACATTGTCTCACTCTTCTGAGCATTCCCGTAACTCTATCGATTCTACTCAAATCACAGATTGCTAAATAGTGTTCGATGCTCACATTTTGGAGCAGCCTTCAGGCTCACATTGTCATCGTGTTTTGCCTATGCTGCAGTCTCTGATGACACTTTTAGCTCACACACACACACACACACGTATGCATGTAAAAGGATAATCGGCCTGGTAATCCTTCTGCTAAGCAGAGCGCCCGGCAGCTTGTCCTAATTGAAATGGCGCATTCTAAGCATTTTGGCGTGAATGATAGTCGACAAATGCAAATTTGGCAGCGCCAAGCACAAAAGCCCTGGCATAATGCATCTCTGTAGTGGAATGCAGCTGCGAGATGTCAGGATATGAGCACGAGCAGCAGCAGAAGCAAGAGCAGGAGCAGCAGGAGGAGGCAGCTTATTAGCAAAGATTGTCTATACAAAACAGCGACACACAACAAACTGAAATTGATTACCAAATGCGACGTCTGCTCGAGTGTGCGTGTGTGTCTATGTGTGTGTGTGTGTGTGTGTGTGTGTGTAGCAGCCTAATAAGCACAAAAATCTACATAGAGCAGCAATTCCTTTTAATTGAAAATCTCTCTGCCTCTCAGCCACATGTGAGTCGCTGCCTGTGCTTTTCAATTTTTCAAAATTTATTTTCTTTTTTTTTCTATTTTCGCAATTTCTTTGCGGTTGCAGTTGTTGCTGGCTGGCTGGCTGGCTGACTGTTAGCTGTTGGCTGCCACCGAATGCATTCGATATTGCATTTTGCCCGTTGCCAGCCAACAAACAAGGATAATAAGTACTTTAGCTGGCGAGTGAGTGGAGCAAGGCGAGGCGGAACGTGGAGGCGACTCGCTTGGCTTTAGCGACTTTTTGGACTGATTGACTTGCGAACCACTCTGCAGCACCCCTCGCCTGCTCCTGCTGCCGCTACAGTGTTCAGTGTTCAGCCCTTTCGCAAAGTTGATTGCAGCAAGGACTTGCGTCTATATTGCGCCGAAAAAATTGCATCGGATGCATTTGGCTTGGCAAACAAACCAAGCTGTAGCCCCATTCTGCACCCCCCTCAGCCTCGTTCCTTGCCAAACAACAGTCATGTTAAAAGTTTCGTTTCGTTTCGTTTCGTTCCTCGTCCTGGCCCTGGCCCTGGCCCTGTCGCCCGCCCCCAACTTATTGGCC